GTTTCTTTTATAAAATAATAACAATTAACATAAATTGATCATCAATTAGACTGTTTCCAGTATGAAAGGATTAGCATGTGGCTAAGCCTAGGTTTGAATTCGAACAATTTGATTTTAGGGTTCACATACCTTATGCTATGCTATCCTTCAAACTGGTGATATCACTACTGCTCAGGGATAGATACAACAGCCATTTTTATTTACTGGATAACTAATTATTACATTTGAATGTCCAGGTGCTGATACTATCAAAAATGATGGCATCTACTCCAGATATTTTATGGAATACAATGGAAATGGTAGATACAGTTTAAAAGTTCATGTTCAGGCAAGAAATTACACAGCTAGACGGAGTTTAAGACGACAGAACAAGTCTCTGTACATACCCGGCTATGTTGTAAATGGTAAGTAGCATTAAAATTGAAATGAGTGTTTTTGTACATTGCATGAGGCAAACATGGAAAATTTTATGTACTATGGAAGAGGCAAGTATATAATTATGTATTCAACTTCTCTGTTTCCAAATTATATTCATACTATTGGGTTGAGTATAAAATAGGTTGTCACATGTTTTGTTAACATCTACGCTGGTTCATTTCAATTACAATGAAAAATTTTGGACTGAGCATCTGGTATTAGGCCAGCACTATAGAAGATGCTTGCTACAAAGATGAATGAAAGATAATGCTTGTACCAGGCTCATGTCTCACACGTCATACCAGCTACTCTGGAAGAAGAGATTGGCAGGATTGCAATTCCAGGCAAGCTGGGGCAAAAATTTCCTGAGACCTCCATCACAACAAAACGAAGGGCATGATGGGCATCTGTGGGAGCCTCAATAGGAAGCTTGCAAACCCAGGCTTGCCTGGGGAGAAACCTTGGTAACATATCCAGAAAAGAACATAACGAAGCTCTGAAGCATAGCTTAAGTGATACAGTGTCTAGCCAGTAAGAATGGGACCCTGAGTTCAAAAGGATCTTTGCCCTCAAAGAATTCTAGTCAAGCAGTTAATAAAGATCAAAGATGGTTTAACATAGCATAATATCTCCTCATTCATTTCAAAGTTATACTAAAACAAGAGGGTTTTTTCACTAAAAATTGTCACTTTTCTGTGTCTGCCATGAAGTTTTAACTTACCCCTCTACAAGATGAAGTATCCACATGACAATATGAAAAGTTACATAATTACTCTTTTGGGGTAGGTGAAATTGTACTGAACCCACCCAGACCTGAAGTTAAAGAAGACTTGGCAGAAGCTGAACTGGAAGATTTCAGCAGACTAACTTCAGGAGGGTCATTCACTGTATCAGGAGCTCCTCCTGCTGGTAACAATGCTCCCTTGTTCCCGCCCAGTAAAATCACAGACTTGGAGGCTGAGGTTAAAGGAGATCATGTTCACCTTTCATGGACTGCCCCCGGCAGTACCCTTGATAAAGGCAAAGGTAAGCTTGATATTTTACATTTTGTAAAAGAAATTTACTAAGAATTTTCTAATATCTCATTTATAAATAACATTTGTGGAGTGTCTACCTGGGCCATTATTCATTTGTTTTCAGATGTGAAAAATGAAAGACCAAGAGATAGAAATTGGGCCAAGTTATATCTATAACCCAGAATTCTAACCCATTCTTGTTATATTCCATGGTACAAACTGCTTTTCTGAGTTTGAACCATCCTAAACTTAATTGTGGAGGCCTGAATAACAGCTTTCTATCTCTGGCATGGGAAATTATTTTTCTAAGCATTTCTGTACTTATATAATTTTATTCATTTGTCATTGAGTTTCAAACAGTATGAGGTTCCTAGAAACTATCACTATTAAGTCAATTGGACATAAAAGACACATGACTAGACAAGTCATGTCATACTGTTAAGACCTGGAATGATAACGGCATCTCACTTACTAGATAGAATTTTCAAAGCCATATTTGTTTTGTCACTATTTTTAAAAAAATCAAAAGACCTTTCATAAGCCAAAAGAAATACAGAACATCCACATATATATTATTTGTGCTTCAATTTTGAAAACTCTCACTATAACCACTTCTGAAATACATCATTTTCTCATGATCATGACTCACTTTCTCATGACCCATACTAGGCAGAATCAAATAAAATATTAGTATTTGGGGCTGGGAATGTGGCTTAGTGATAGAGTACTTGTCTAGCATGCATGAATCCCTGGGTTCGAGTCCTCAGTACCACATAAACAGATAAAGCCAGAAGTGACATTGTGGCTCAAGTGGTAAAGCACTAGCCTTGAGCAGAGAGAGGCTCAGGGACAGTGCCCAGGCCCTGAGTTCAAGTCCCAGGACTAGCAAAAAAAAATAGTATTGAAACAGAAAAAAAGCCAGGAAGGAAATCATCTAATCAAATATTTAGTTCAAATTCAATTCAGTAAAGATGGAGTCTTCAGTGGAAGACTGGCTCTTATGAAATGTCCTTTGTGTTGATTACAGAAACTAAAAGGAGTGATGTGTTACTTGAGGGCACAGAGGAAGAAAGAATAGCACCATGTACAACCATAAATGCTTAAACCTTCCTTCCTCTTTCTTGTGAAGGGCAGGAAGAGTAATTGTGGTTGGCAAACATTACCCTTAAACATACCCTTAAACATCATAAAGATATCTTAAAACTGGGTACTAGTGGTTCACTCTTGTAATCCTAGCTACTCAGGAGACTGAGATCTGAGAATCACCATTCAAAGCCTGCCCAGGAAGGGAATGTCCATGAGATTCTTTTTTTTTTGTCGGTCGTGGGGCTTGAACTCTGGGCCTGGGCGCTGTCCCTCAGCTCTTCAGCTCAAGGCTAGTGCTCCACCACTTGAGCTACAGCACCACTTCCGGTTTTCTGGTGGTTTATTGGAGATAGAAGTCTCACGGTCTCTCCTGCCCGGGCTGGCTTTGAACCACGATCCTCAGATCTCAGCCTCCTGAGTAGCTAGGATTACAGGCATGAGCCACCAGCGCCTGGCTTCCATGAGATTCTTATCTCCAATTGACTGAGGAAAAAAAACAAAAACAAAAACAAAGCCAGAGTGGAGCTGTGACTCACATAGTAGAGTGCTAGCCTTGAGCAAAAAAAGCTCTGGGACAGTGTCCAGGCCCTGAGTTTAAGTCCCCAAGACCATCACCTTAAAGAGGAAATAAGGATGAGCAGCTCCATAATCTCGAGTGAATCACTTAGATTCTCCAGTCATAGTTTCCATACCTGTTAAATATACAGATTTAGATAGTTGCCAGTGGTTCATACTTGTAATCTAAGCAACTCAGGAGCTGAAACCTGGAAGATCACAGTTTGAAGCCAGCTTGGCAGAAGTCTGTTAAGACTCCATCTCCAATTAACAAGAAAAAAAAAAGCACGCATATTTGGCAAGAAAAAAAAATGAGATTTATGGGACTGGGAAGGTGGCTCAGTGGTAGAGTGCTTGCCTTGCATGCATGAGGCCCTGGGTTCAATTCCTCAGCACCACATACACAGAAAAAGCTGGAAGTAGGTGCTATGGCTCAAGTGGTAGAGTGCTAGCCTTGAGCTGAAAAGCTCAGAACAGTGCCCAGGCCCAGAGTTCAAGCTCCACAACCAGCAAAAAAAAAAAAAATGAGATTTAGAATTCTCAAAATAAGTAGATAAAATTCCAATATTTTATAGTTCTCTACTTGTATCAAACACATACCAGTACAATACTGTTTACCCTCAATGGCAATATAAAAAAGTTTACTCTCAAGAATAATACAATCTCATCAGAATGAAAAGTTAAGCCAGAAAATTTGGAAAAAGCCATTCCATGCAGTGAACGTTCATAGGAGAAAATATCAAGGCAGATGAAATGCTTGACTAAGATTTCATGAGAAATGGGTCTTGGTTAGACTTTAAAGAATAAGATTTTTAAAATATCTGAAAAATATCTTACAAGCAAACAAAGGCTGGTGGTATGTCTCAAGTGGTAGAGCATTTGCCTCAACAGTACAAGACCCTGAACTCAAACCCAAGTACTGCCAAATATTAAAATTAAAAAGGCAAATCTTCACAATATTTGAATTAAACTTAGTGAGAAAGAAGAGGGAGAGGGAGGGAGAGGCATGGAGACTTACCTCAGTGGAACACAAGGTTTATGTGCAGAATGGTAGAATATACCAACAAGGCTATGTATAGAGAAACTACATGTTAAGTTTGTCTTAGAAAAAAATGCCAAAATAACTTACCACATACTTGAAATATTCTTATCACTTCCCAAAACATAAAAAATAAATTCTTCATCTTAAAAAAGTGGCATTAGATCTATCATCAAATTTCCATACATGAAAATTTTTTTTTTCTATTGCTGCTGTTGTTGTATTCGGGATTTATTTAAGCATGCTTGGCAGGCATTCTACCACTTGAGTATCTTGCACCACTTACTTGGACTGGCAGAGGACTGCGATTCTTCCAGTCTGGATTACAGACATGTTCTACCATGCTTGTTGAGATGTTTATGCATAGGCTGGTCTTCAACAAAAAATTCTTCTGATCTTTATTTCCCAAGTTCCTGGGATTACAGGTGTAAGACACCATACTTAATGAGAAGATAAATTTTTATGTGTGTATGCTGGCACTAGAGCTTGAATCTAGGGCCTGGGTACTGTGACTGAGCTTTTTGTTCAAGGCTGGCACACTACCACTTGAGCCACAGCTTGACTTTTGGCTTTTTGCTGGTTAATTGGAGGTAACAGCCTCACAGAGTTTCCTGCTTGTACTGGCTTCAAACCAAGATATTCAGATCTCAGCCTCTTGGGTAGCTAGGATTACAGGCATGAGCCACTGGAGCCCAGCTAGAAGTTTTTGGAGTTTTTTTTTGTCGGTCATGGGGCTTGAACTCTGGTCCTGGGCACTGTCCTTGTGCTCTTCAGCTCAGGGCAAGCCCTCCACCGCTTGAGCCACAGCACCACTTCCGGTTTTCTAGTGGTTTATTGGAGATAAGAGGCTCATGGACTTTCCTGCCCTGAGATCCTCAGATCTCAGCCTCCTGAGTAGCTAGGATAACAGGCGTGAGCCTCTGGCGCCCAGCTTAGAAGATTATTTTTATATCTGTGACTCTGGTAGAATTCTAAAAGCAACGTGGGATAAAGCATTTATGTAGGCATCTTTCTTTCCATTCTTAACAAAGTCATAGCTGTAGTTAACATTTTAAGTATTCATTCATCACTTATTTAATTGTGCTAACCACTTCATGTTTATAATTCTTGCCACAGAAGTAGTAGGATACTCAATAAATATTTGATAGAGCTGAATGACTAAATCTATGTTTTACAGGTTTGAAAAGCTGGAGATGAGAAAGTTTAAATAAAAAGTTCTATTACTTAGAAAATCAACAGAATGAGATCACCAGTCAAGGTCTTCCCTAGGTCCTGTGCTTAGTATATTCTCCAGCTTTTGTGTTTTGCTCCTACTCTTCTGTTTCTTTATCTTCTCTCTTACTCCTGTCTCATATTACTTTTTTCAACTTAAGAAAGCATACTTGAGCATTCCTGTGTTCCCTTTCTAAATTTAAAAGCTCATTCAGCTTTGTATATTTCTCTGTATCAACTAAATTCTGGCAGGGAGGGAGGCTCAGTGCTTAATGATAGTGAATGAAAATTTTCTGTGATCACATAATGCATCTTAAAATGTCATGTACTTGTTAAACTAAGAGCAATGATGTAACCAGACAAAAGTTGCCTCTGGTATTCTCTAACTAAACTATAGTGAGCATTCTGATAGGTGCCCCCCAGGTGAGGTGTTCTTGTGGTTTCATTCACAACACAACAACTGTCTGTCTGTTTTCCAGCTGCCAACTACATTATAAGAATAAGTAAATGTTTCCAGGAACTCCAGCATGATTTTGACAATGCTGCAGTAGTAAATACTTCTGGTCTGACACCTAAGGAGGCTGGCTCTAAAGAAACATTTGTATTTAACCCAGAACTTTTGAAAGTAGAAAATGACACCAAGTTCTTCTACATTGCAATCCAAGCCAACAATGAAGCTAATCTCACCTCAGAAGTTTCTAACATTCCACCAGCGATTAGATTCTTTGTTCCACAAGATTCCAGCATCCCTGCTCTGGGTATTTCTGCAATCAGTTTGGCTATTTGGGGGTTGGTTATGATTTTGTCTGTAATTTAAACGAGAGAATGTATTACAAATGAAATTCAATATCATATGTATTTAGTAAATACTTATTTTAGACAAAATTTATAAATTTCCTAATTAATATCAATTAGCTTATTCAATGTAAATCAAAATATTTTCTGGATAGTCTATTTATTAACTTTGTTGATTTTGTTGTTTGTTGTTGTTATTCATTTTGCTCTTTTCTTTTTACAATTCTGGGTATTTAACCCATGGTAGGCAAGAGGTCTACTACTCTAATTTTCAACATGAAAAATGAGAATATTTGTTTTATGGGCTTCTTAAAAAACATTTCAGAGGATGCCACAAACTCATATGATATGTTAACCAAACCAAAATATATACAATTAATTTGAAAATATTTATGTTTATACAATAATATTGTAATATCCCACAAGAGATTATGAATGAATACTTCATGCTTACATTTATAATAAAAAGGAGTACAAAGGTAAATTTTCAATTAAAAAAAATGACCTAACACGGTAAGAAAATCAAATTTGTTTTTACAATTGGAAGAATCCTCTTTTGTAGAAACTGTAGACTATCACAATAAAGTTCTATACCTACGCATGGACCATCCTTAGATCAAGATTATTGTTAGGTCTGCCAGGAGAACAGCTCCCTTCCCACCATATTCTCTTCTTAAAGGACAGCATAAAGCCTTATCGGAAATCACCTGCCAGAAATTGATGATCATCTGTAACTGTTAATCACCTGACTATCAATTATCTGGCTGTGAGTCAGCAAAATGACCCTAGGCTCTGATGTCACTTCTGTATCTGCTGTGGCCACACCTCTTCCTCACCTATCCCTATATTATATGTCTCCACCATCAGCCAGGCTGCTACACCTGGAGCAGGCGGTTCCCCTAATAAGCTCTCTCCTGCCTGAACCATGTGGCGGTCTCTTTTCCACAACTCTTACAAGTACTACTAAGAATCTCTATTTGGGCAAGAATTGATTTCATTGCTGGGATCTTTGTATGCAAAATGATCCTTAATATGTAGTATATATTTAATGAATATTTGTTAAACCAACAAATGCACATCTGAGAGAAGGTAGGAGGAAGACATAGCATCAGAGGGAAACAGGGGAAAACATACAACAGAAGGACCCATCAGCTGCACTGGACATTGATGAAAATGAACTAAGAAACTCAAGGGTAGCAATGGGAGGGAGGGAATGAGAGGGAAAGAGGGAACAGCCTACACTAAACAAAAGGAAAGAAATGTACATATCACCTGACATGGAAGAAAGAGTTGTATTGTCAAAGCTCATAAAATTCATAAACTTCATAGACCACGATGATGACAATTTGCCTTGTGAAGCTTAAAATATGCTTATGACTTTAAGTATCACTCTCTCACAATACTATGAAATTTGTGACATTTATGTAATCATTTAATCTCAATAAAAAATTATATAAAAAAGAAACCAACAAATACTTTTATTTACTCAAGAAAAAGGCAGGTATGATGCAATTATATAAAAAATACCCACACTACATCATGCACATGATAGGACATTATATCATAAACCCCACCTCTTATTAACACTGGTTTAAACCAAAAATTTTTGAGGTCTTGTGTAGTGGCTCATGCCTGTGATCCAGTTTTTGGGAGGCAGAGATCAGGAAAATCAAGGTTGAAGGCCAACCTAGTAAAAATGTTAGTGACATGCCCTTCTCAATCATTAAGCTAGGCATGGTGATTTATGACTATTGTTCCAGCTACACAGTAGAAATAGGCAGGAAGATTGTGGTCCAAGGCAGACCAAGTCAAAATAGTGAGACCCTGTCTGAAAATAACTGAAGCAGAAAAGTGGTAGAGCTTGCCTAACAAGCACGAGACCCTGAGTTCAAAATTCAATACACTAAAGAAACAGGTTTCAAAAAATTATGTATCATCTTTCTAAACTATCTAATAAAATATAAACTAAGTTATTACTATTACAATGGTATGAATTATACTAGAAGAAAATCACATTGTGTGTGCAGACACATGGGTGTTCATGCGTGTGTGTGTGTGTGTGTGTGTGTGTGTGTGTGTGTGTGCTGGTTGTGAAGCTTGAACTCAGAGCCTTGTACTCTCACTTAATTTTTCTGCTCATAGCTGGAACTCTCCCACTTGAGAGTCCAGCTTTTTGCTGGTTAATTGGAAATAGAGACTCCCAGATTTTTCTACCCAGGCTGGTTTTGATTTGAGCTCCTCAGATCTCACCTACTATTATAGATATGTCACCAGCACCCGGTTTGAAAATCCATCTAATAAGGCAAGATTTCAAAAACTTTTTGAATAGGTGAAAGGAAGAAACTATATGAAACCATAAGACATTAGCAAACCAAATCCAAATAAATATATAAAAAGTAAGACTATATCAGCCAGGTTAAATTCAATCCAGGAATCCAAAAATGATTTAATGTTAGAAAAAACTATCATACTTAAAAACACATTGTAACCTACAATTCTTCATTCAAAATAAAACCTTCAACAACTATTAACCTAGCATTTTAAAGTTCAAACTTGAATAATTTTAAAATAAATAAAAGGTATATAGTTTTCAAGTAGAGATACAAACAGATACCAGAGAGAATTCTAAATTCTTAGGAAAGTAAATTATTTAAGATTCTATTAATCATAAAAATTATGATTAGTTATGAGAAGAGGGTCAGCATATACTTTATTATCCTATACATGGCCCATACTGAATAGAGCTTAAGCAATCACTGAAGAATGAAATGTTATGAGATGAAAAAAAAAAAAAGGAATAGAAGATACAATAATTAGAAGAGATATAACTTGGCACTGGTGGCTCACGCCTGTAATCCTAACTACTCAGGAGGCCTGAGATCTGAGGATCATGGCTCAAAGCCAGCCCAGGCACAAAAGTCCACCAGACACATATCTCCAATTAACAACCAGAAAACCAAAGTGCAGCTGTGGCTTAAAGTGGTAGAGCTAAAGAGTTCAGTGACAGTGACCAGGCCTCTAGTTCACACCCCATGACCAACAAAAAAAAGAAAGGAAGGAAGGAAGGATAGAAAGAAAGGAAGAAAGAAAGAAAGAAAATAGAAAGAAAGAAGGGAAGGAAAGAAGGAAAGGGGCTGGGAAGGTGGCTCGGTGGTAGAGTGCTTGCCTTGCATGCATGAAGCCCTGGGTTCGATTCCTCAGCACCACATAAGCAAAAAGAAAAAAGCCAGAAGTGGCGCTGTGGCTCAAGTGGTAGAGCACTCGCCTTGAGCTGAAGAGCTGAGGGACAGCGCCCAGGCCCAGAGTTCAGACCCCACGACCAGACCCAAAAAATAATAAAAAAGAAAGAAAGATAGAATGAAAACACCTACACTGAGTCTGAACACATCAGGGAGTGAGAAAGAAAGAAAGTTATAAAGTTGTAATTATTAACATGACATTTAAAAATCTAATAGAATAAAAAAACTAATAGTGAATTCAGGAAAGCTACCAGGCACAAGTTCAATTTATGAGTATTACTAGTACAACATGCATGAAGCTTAGATATCTTTACTCTCATTCTCACAACAACAAAAGCTGAATTAAAAATCAACATTACAACCTGCTGCCAAAAAACTAGAAAGAACTGTAGCTTACCAGGAGCAGAAGCCTACTAGTGAGACCAATACAGTATGATTATTTAAAACTGTAAATGGTCAATAGCCAGAAACTCAGTGTGAGTGAATTTCAGAACTTAAAACTTACTTTGAGAAGTCCTATTGAAGCCGGGTAGATGAGGAAAGAGGAGATATGGTCAGCTAAAGCAAGTACAGGAGATATTCCTTCATGTATTTCCCTTAAGATTAAGGGAACAAAAGTCATCTGGGGGGAAATGAAGCAGGATAGCTTATGAAAACTGAGGCCTGCTATAGGCAACTAAGAAATAGGGTAGCTAAAAACTTAGAAATGCTATCTTTGCTTCAAAGAGAGGCAACTGAATGCATTCTTCCTAAGGGATGCTTTTCTCACCCAAGAATTCACAACTGTGTGACAGGATGCCCCAAAATGTGGATAGGAAGTTGTTTCCTTGTTTCAAGGATAAGGATCTATTTTATAGCAAGATGGATTCTTCCCTGGAACACCAGGTGTAGTTAGAGCAAAGACAAAGCACCTAGTTTTGCATAACTTAAAGCCAGACTCCCTGCCTTTACCCTATAAATACCCAACAGCCCAAGGAGCTGTGTGTTTCCTTGTCTGTGTCTGTGTCTTTGTGTCCTTATGAGAGCACCCACACTCTGCTAGAGTGTGCCCCTGCCTTCTGTTTGTCTGCTTTTTTGTCTGTCTGTTTTCCTTGCTTGTTTACTCAATAAAGCTCTGCCAAGCTTTTTTTTACCATTGTGACTTGTCCAGAAATTCTTATTCTGCGATCAAAGTCAAGAGCCCTAAGTGAAGAGTTCCTGTATTTTAAGGGGAGCTTCACTAATCCTCACCTCTGTACGAAGACACTATTAGGTCCTCAGAGTAATAAGTGGAGAAAGACCTCAGACTTTCAACAGAGAATAGGAAATTATGATTTCAAAATATGCCTAGAACATTCTATTTTCCTAAACACACACCACACACTGTCTATCTGCAAGGAAGCCCCACTGACTTTAGTTAATTTGCTAGCTGGTTACCAACTTGAGAAAAGGGAAAGACCTGACTCCAGCCTCACCTAGCCTTCCATGGTAAGAGGAAAATGTCCCATTCCAGAACCCTGTTACATTCCCACCTCACAAAAGGGGAACAAAAGCTGGAAAATAGTCATGAAAGACACATCCCAGGGAGACTGAACACAAAAAGTTAGAGATCTAATTACAAGACTATATGATGCTTCCTTCACACATATATACAAGCTTATTATAATTTTAATAGGCTGTTGTATATGAACTGGTGATTAGACATGAAAGAATTGGAGGCTTCTGACTGAATTTAAGATTCAGTGTCTAAGAGAATTCAAAGACAGTCATGGGGTCAAAAACAAGTATACTAG